TTCGGGGCTTCGACCCACCATTGAGAGCATCTTATTTACATCTCTAGAGGAGCAAAGTCTCTGAACTTCAAAACCTCCTTTCACAGATTAACCGTCTCCCCATTCTCCGCTCCACCCCGTGACTTTGACACTGCATTCAAAGCTGCTGGTGCGGCCCCCCCGGACCCCCCCAGCCCTCCTTCCCAACCAGGAGCCTTTTCAAGTGCAAAGCCATGGGGTTTAATCCTCCCTCCCCTCTCCCATGGGCTGGACCAAGCGGCATCGCCTGCGTGAGACTCGGCCCCTCGCTGCAACGGGGGAACTCTCCACCAAAAGCGCCGAGAGGCGCTGAGTCCCATCTCCTCGTTTCAAGGGGCTCCAAAATTTCAGGAGCCCATTTTTGGCTCCTTCCCAGCTCAAGCCAGGATGCATCACAGCTTTGTTTCTGCCACGATGGCAGCGGGACGGATGCCGCGTACCGGTGGGGCACACGCAGTGGAACTCATTGATCTTGTCGAGGCAGTTGCCGTTGTGCAGGCTCGTGTTGATCTCGCAGTAAACCCCCTCGTAACCTGCGGAGAGACCCGGTGCACCGTCAGCGCTGTGGCACGGGGCCGGCACAACGCGCGGGATGGGCAGGACACCAGGGCATGTTTGGTCCCCCCGTCTTTACAAGGGCAGCTCCTGTGCTACAGGTGGTGGGACCTGATGCACAAGCTGCTCCGTGGTTGTCCACCCTGGATCTCCCTGCCCTTGGCTTGATTCAAGCCAGCAAGGACGGCAAGAGGAGGAGTTCAGAGCGGGGCTGATGGTGCCCAACTCTCACCTCCCGTCCCCCCACTGCTGCAGGAGACAGCGTAATCTTTACCAACGTCTTCCTTTTCAGTGCAGTCCCCAGACACACGCACCTCCTGCAGCTCCTCACCCAAACCAACACTGAGCAGAAGCTCGGGGCACCCAGAGCCCTCCCACCGCTCACACCCAGCACCAGGACAGGGGTCCACAGCGCCGCCCACCCACCGGGCATGCAGATGCACTGGAACTCTCCAATCTGGTCCAGGCAGGTGGCATCGTTCTGGCAGGGATTGGAGAGGCACTCGTTGACGTCGATCTCGCAGCGAGGGCCCGAGTAGCCTTGCAGGCACTGGCACTGGAAGGACCCCTGGGTGTTGATGCATTTCCCTGCGTGCTCGCAAGGGTTGGCTCCTGCAACACACAAGTGGGGCTCACAGGACACGCTCCCAGCTGCATGTGAGCTCCCGGCTGCACCGGCGCTTTCCCCAGCTGCTCCTCTGCAGCCCGCAGGAGCTCAGCTCCAGCGCTCACCCAGCGAGCACTCGTCCACGTCCTGGTTGCAGGCTGGCCCCATGTACCCTGAAGGACACGTGCAGATGGCTTTGCCGTTGACGGGGTTGGTGTCGCAGTTGGAGCCCTCGTTGCAGGGATTGCTGATGCAGGCGTCATCGAGGTGGCACAGCAAACCTGGGTGGCAAAAGGCAGGTGCACGTCAAGGGTGATGGGCACGCAAGTCATCATGCACCAAGACCTCAGCTAGGAGCCAGGGGACATGCAGGGAGATGGGATGGGGCCTCACCTGTGCGGCCGTGGGGGCACTCGCAGTAGAAGGAGGCCACCCGGTCGTGGCAGGTGGCCCCGTGGAAGCAGGCGGCCATGGCACAATCGTCAATGTTCTCGCTGCAGTCCTCGCCTGTCCAGTTTTTTTTTTGTTGTTGTGGCAGGTGCCCCCGTTCTGGCAGGCGTTGGGCATCAGCTGGCACTCATCCACGTCCTCTGTACAGTACTGACCTGCCAGGAGGTGAGGCACCCGTGTGAGGCTGGCGCTGCCCAGCTGCTGCAAGCTCCGCAAGCATCACTGCGAAGCACGACAGCTCTCCCCACCTGCTCCACGGCATCCGCCAGGGCAGGATCCGTCCTCCCAGCCCAGACCCACGCACCCTTGCTGCCAGCAGCAATGTTACCTGTCCACTCGGGTGGGCACTGGCAGTTGTAGGTGTTGACGCCATCCACGCAGGTGCCCCCATTCTTGCAGTTGTTTCCCGGACAGTCATTTATGTTCTCCTCACAGTTCTGGCCTGTGAACCCTGTGCAGAGGAGACATCTGCCATGATGCCGACCGACCAACCGGCTGTGCCACTGCCTCAGCCCCCCACCCCACCCCGCCGATGGCAGTTTACTCGTTATCAGGTGCTGAACGTGCGCCAGGCGATCCCAGCCCGGCTTTGAAGCCAGGTGCCCACTTTCATCCCCAGCCCTGTCCTGCCTCTGCCGGGTTTTGGTTCTGCCGTGCAGGTTTCCCTACCAGGGTGCCATCGCCAGAGCCTGGCAAGCGCTTCCTCCGTGCAGGGCAGACAGTGCGTCCCTGGCACGGGGCTCGCCTGCCAAAACCCCTGGCTCCACAGACGCTCGCCCAAAGCGGACGAGGATCCGGCTCCACGGCAAGCCCGGCTGAACCAGGGCTGCTCCCACGATGGCTTGCGGCACCCGGTGCTGAATCACCAGCTTTTAATTTCGCACGTAAAGAGTCTCATCAGCAGCACTTCCCCGGAGGGGTTCCAAGTTCCTGGCAGGGTGAAGCACTGCGCTAACCCCGGCCCTCCTCCGGCGCGGTGAGCCCAGCTGCTCAGGTTTATGGTATCGCTTCCACCTGACGGTGCAGCACACATGGACACCG